TTTACTAGAGCGGCGCAGAAAAGTGTCTCAAAGAGGCTTTTCATCGCGCTGGATGTGAAAATCAAGCCGACTAAAGCCAAAAAAGAGGACGAGAGAGAGAGAAAGAAAAAGAAGAGAGAGAGAGAGACAGAGAGAGAGAAAGAGAGAAGACCTGGCGTTTAATCGTTGTGGATTGTATCAGCGAGTTCTTCCCTCTCTTGTTGGTTTATTTTGTTTTGTTTTGTTTGTTTGTTTGTTTGTTTGTTGTTTTGTTCCTCTGGAGGGAGAGTGTGAATGAATGTTTCTCTCGGGTGAGGAGCTCGTGAAAGCCGCGTGAATGTACAGCATGATGATGGAGACGGACCTGCACTCGCCGGGCGCGCAGACGACCGGGAGCGCGGCGGGGTCGCACGCGGGGCCGGTGGCGATAGGAGGAGGAGGAGGTGGAGGAGGAGGAGGGGGGGGCAAAGCCGCGGGGCAGGAGCGCGTGAAGCGGCCCATGAACGCCTTTATGGTGTGGTCGCGCGGGCAGCGGCGCAAGATGGCCCAGGAGAACCCCAAGATGCACAACTCGGAGATCAGCAAGCGTCTGGGCGCCGAGTGGAAGGTGATGTCCGAGGCCGAGAAGCGGCCCTTCATCGACGAGGCCAAGCGGCTGCGCGCCATGCACATGAAGGAGCACCCGGACTACAAGTACCGGCCCCGCCGGAAGACCAAGACGCTGCTGAAGAAGGACAAGTACTCGCTGGCCGGCGGCCTGCTCGGGGCGCCGGGGATGAGCCAGAGGGGGCTGGAGAGCCCCGGCGGCCTCGGTGTGGGCGGCGGCAGCGCGAGCGTTGGCGCTGCGGCGGGCTACGCGCACGTGAACGGCTGGACGAACGGCGCGTACGCGGCGGCGGCAGCGATGATGCAGGAGGCGCAGCTGGCCTACGGAGGACAGCACGCGGGAGCGGGGGGAGCAGGAGGAGGTGGATTAGGAGGTGGCGGCGGCGGCGGAGGAGGCGGAGGAGGAGTGGGAGCAGCAGGAGGAGGAGGCGGAGGAGGAAGCGCGCACCCGCACCACATGCACCCGCACCACCACCCGCACCACCATCCGCACCACAGCGCGCAGCCCGTGCACCGCTACGACATGAGCGCGCTGCAGTACAGCCCCATCTCGAACTCTCCGGGCTACGTCAGCGCCTCGGCGGCCTCGCCGTACGGCGGCCTCGCGTACGCGCAGCACCACCACCACCACCACCAGAGCGCCGCCTCGCTGGTCAAGGCCGAGCCCAGCGCCAGCCCGCCGCTCGCCGCGCACTCGCGCGCGCCCTGCCCCGGAGACCTGCGGGACATGATCAGCATGTACTTACCGGCGGCGGCGGCGGCTGGAGGCGCGGAGGCTGCCGAGCAGACGGTCCAGAGCAGACTGCACGCGCTGCCGCAGCACTACCAGAGCGCCGCGGCCGGCATCAACGGAACTGTTCCTTTAACACACATTTAAAAACTGAACGAAACGTTAAAAAAGAGTGAATGAATGAATGAAGAAAAAGAGAAAAAAAGCAGAAAACTGAACCACGCATCAGAAAGAAGTAACCAAATATTGACCTCTTTTTAGATCATAACTACCTTTTTGTACAGAATGTTTTTGTTGTAAATGGAAAGGTGATTATTATTATTATTATTATTATTATTATTATTATCATTATTATTATTTAAAGCTGATGAGTTCAGTGTGTCCCCATTTCTCCAAGACTAAAGAACACTGCCTGTACACGCCAGCCTCCCAACACTCACATTTTTGGGGCCGTTTTAGATTCTTTGAGATTTTTTTTCTATTTTAAACAGGAGGCTGAGCTTCACAGTGGAAATGCCTACAGTGTTTAAAGGTTTATTAGTTGTCCGCAGCCCACAGTTCTTCGGTTTGTAAACACGTGACTAAGCCTGTGTATCTGATCCATTCATTATTATTATTATAATATTTTTTTGGTCGTTGTATTTTTTCTTGTAAATTGTGCATATATTACATAGAGAAAAATGATAGGCCTAAAAAAACTGTAAATAGTTTCCTTAACTCATTTTTTGCAAGAAAAGAAGGAGAACTTTTTTTGCGTTGGTATGAAACGAATAAATTTCACAGCTGTTGATCTTATTCTGGATAAACGTCTTAATTTCGTCCTTGTTTCGTTTTTTTGCGTTTTTTCATGATGAGATTGAGTTGTAAACAACCTAAATAATGAGGGTGCTGGTACACACACTGCAGGAGAGTCGCTCCAGCTTCGGGTTATAACCTTAAAAAAATCGAGGCAAAAAAGTAAAAGAAAACGCGCCGGAAATCAGAAAAACGCAAATGAAATTGTCATAAAGCTTCGTTATGACAGAAAGTGGACACATTTGAGGAAACAGAATAAAGAGTCTCTGTGAAAATATTGATCACTTATTAAATCAGGTGCTGTGATTAGCTCATTTTCTTCAACATAAAAGTTAATATAGTTTACATTTTTGATCTATAACATATGACAGTGACAGGGATATTTGCTTATATTTGAAAAGGTTATTATTATTATTATTATTATTATTATTTTACAAGTTTGCTAATTTTGTCTTCAGTTTGTCCTACAATATAAAAAAATTGTGTTAATTTTGCCGCAGAGTTGCTATAAATAGAGAGACTTTATAAACAACAACACTTTTTATTTCTAGAGTTTAACAACAACAACAAAAAAAAACTCCTGCAAACTGTTGACCTCTTGGTTTTTTTTGCTGTGTTATTCTGGTCTTCACGTTGTTTTCACTATTTAAACTGGTCTAGCCCAGTGTAAGGTCATCTTAACTGGACATCTGTGGTAAAACATTAACAGCTCACGTTTCCTTGTTGTTCTGATTGTTGTTGTTTTTTGATGCTGCTGTTATTTTAAGGTGCTCTTACACACTAAATTTGTTGCTGGATCACATAGAAATGACCCTGTTATGAGTGTATTAGTTTGTATATGATGCGTTGGGTTGTGAAACAGATAGAAGAGCAAACAAATAATACGAAGCGGCCTAAGAAAAGATAAAATGAAGATAAGAAAAAAATGAGGTCACTTTCAGACCAAACAAACTGCAGCACGTTCATGTCATTTACCTGAGCTAATAAACACAGTTCAGCTCTAAAAACAGTCGATGTAACTTTAAAAATAATAACCCAACTGCCATAAAATGCTGAGTTAGTTGAATTATCATAGTATAATCTTTATAAATTACTATCAGTTGTTTTACTCTAATACTCTAATTTTTAAAGGTGTCCAGTTTACATTACTGTCTAACTCTAAGCGTCGATTCCCTTTTGTTTACAGTGCTGTTCATAACCACATGCTCTCTTCTTGCTATTCATATCTCCGAAAAGAGGGATGCTTTTCAAATCTATAAATCCATCTATCAGAGAAGCCTTTCAGGAAACGTGGATCTGTTGTCGCTGTTTGCTTGTTTTGGGTAGGGGCAGGGGTCGGTCAAAGTGTAGGACCCCTCTAAATAAAAGAGTATCCAATGAAAACCGAAAAGCAACAAATACAAAGAAAAGCACATTATTCATTGTCCGATGAACAAGACCACCCCCCCAACCCACCCCCCAACCCCGACCGCCCCCCACCTCCTCAATCTTTTCCTCAGTGAACGTGTTAAATCCCCTCCACTTCAGCTAAATCCGTCTGGGAACAACAGGGCGCTATTCAGCACTTTATTTACCTTACAATAATAAAGTGCAACAGCTCTTAATGGAATTAAATATCGTAGCGTTTATTTCCGCGGAGCGCGCGCTTCTCCTCCTCCTCCTTCTGTTCGCCCTTTTCGGGATAATACTCGATATTTGTCTGCGCCTGTTAGTTTATTGCCTCGGATTCAAGAAAGAAAATGACAACTTGAATTTGTCAGTGACTCCCCAGCGGGCCGTCAGGGAAGGGTCCGCAGGGTGGGAGACGGATTAGGCTGAATGGGGGGCGAGAGGAGGGTTGTGTGTTGGGAGGAGTTGGGGGGTGAGGGGGGATTAGAAGGCCCTGAGAGCTAACCCCGGGGTCAGCCGAGGCTTTTGCAATGAAAACCTTGAGATTTCCTGCAACAAGTAGCTCTCCTCCACGAGCTCTTGGCATGGTGGTTGGAGGGCGCTTGGGGCTTATTTTGTTCATGAATTCCTGCTTTTCACGCACTCTGGAATCTCTCTGAAACTGTACTTTCAGCGGCAGTGACAGCGAACGGGCCAGCTGATAGTGCTCGAGTCATCCCAGCGCTGAACAGAATGAGGGAATAGCTGCACAAGCCTCTCTTTACAGTCTGAAAAAGAAGCTTCCTCTGAGGTTCCTGGCCTGAATGTGCTAGAAAAAAAAAACATTAATTGGTGCAGAAACTTTAAACTGAAAAAGGTTATTTACACTCTTTTCATTTACAGAATAGTTCTGTAAAAAAACGTCCACTGAAAAGTTCTTTAAGGAACTTAAAGTGGCTCTTCTGGCATCACTCCAGCAAACCCTGGCTCCTTTATGGTAAAAATGAAATGGCAAGAAGTGGCTATTAATCTAAAATTCTAATGGAATTTAAAGCAAATTAGCAACATTTTGATCTAATAAACGGGTAATCACCATTCTTTGGTCCCTCAGGATGACTGAAGTAGCGTGGAACCAATGATACCTACACTGTCTGAAAAAAGGTATCAGGTACATTTTTCATTCATCAAGATACAAACCATGTAAATGTACCCTCAAAGCTAGAATAGTGGTGTTAAGGTCCAGCTGTGTACCTTAAAGAAGATTTTCCCAGAGAAATGTATTACATAAAGTACATATTCATATCATATTTATAAGCTAATGTATTATAACAGAACAGTAAAATAAAAAGGCTGGAGTCAAGACAGGCTGTGTGAAGTTAATAATTCCAGTGGAATGTCATCACTGACCAAAGAAAACCATGTATCTCCATTTTTGTCTGCTTGCATTTTTCTACATCATTTCAACACACTAGCATGCTGTGTGAAATTTCATGATGAATGGACCAGTAGAAATGCTCTAAAATCCCTTAATAAATGGTAAAATAAATATAATAAAAAAAATAAAACCTCTTTACATTAACTTACACTGAAAGGTAATAGTGTTTTTGCCCTCTGCTGTAAAGTTACTATTTTGGAGATCCTTTTTTTGGACAGTGATAATATGGTGCAATTATATGCCCTAACTAAAGGCACTGAGGACATACACTTGAGGGTACCACCCTAGTGACAAGAGGGGTACTGCCCCAAACACAGTTTAGCACCATTTCTCTGAGAGTGTAGGAAGCTTCTGTAATGATAACTCTGGGCTATATTTAGATATATCAGTATGTAAAAATGTAGAATCGCATATGTGAACCATCACATCTTATAACCACGATACAGACATTCTTCTATTTGATTTCCCATTTAAAAATGACTGTAATTTTCATTTGGAAAGAATACACTAGAAGGCGTCAGCTCTAACCGGAATAAACGAGACTTAAGTGCTTCATAACCTGATGACCAAGAAAACATGAACCCACAGTCTGTTATTTGGCGAGTAACTCTGAAACTTTGATTTCGTCGAATGTAAAATAATAGCAGTGTAAGACAGGACTCACTGCTCTGTAGACTCACTATTTGTTATAACTCAAAGTGTCAAGGCAGCCAGGTTTTTAGGTTAAATCACAAATCTGGGCAGTGTGGGGTCGTTTCGCTCGTGTCAGCGCATCCCGTGAGTCTTGTGTACTCTAGTTTGGGTTTATTTTAATTCTCTTCTGCTCTGAAAAAATACATTTTTGAGCAAAAATAAGTGAAGACACTGAATTCACTTCAGCCCTCACTGCATCGATGTGATGTGTCAAAGCGCGTAAAGACACAATGAGCCCTGGTGGGCAGAGGTCCAGCCCGCAGCACGCCTTTTCTGGCAAACTCCACTCATTCACTCTCCTACAGAGGGGAAAGTGAGAGAAGAGCAGCGAAAACTCCTGACCCCCCAGACTACAGCCGACTGCTCTGAAATAAGAGTGTCAGAGCGGCTTCTGCACTCTGATAGAAAAGCTGTCTGCGCAGCTACATTTTACACTGATGAGAGTACAAACCATGCAAATGTACCGTCAAAGCTACAGCAGTGGTTTAAGGTCCAATTGTGTAAGTTTTTTTTTTCTCAGGGAAAATGAACATATTTGTATTTTATCATAATCTAATGATTTAAAACAGAACAGTAAAAAGGCTGAAGACAAGACAGCTTAAAATATGATTGTAATGGATTGTGTTACAGTGATGTTCCCTAACTAAAGGCACTGCAGATGTATCCTTGAGGGTACCACCACAGAGACAAGAGGGGTAGAGTGACCCCAGTTTAGCGCTATTTAGTTTAGTGCTAGAGCGACACCACAGACTTTTGTAAATAAGATGTGAAAATGTGAAGAACCTTTTCAAACCTTAAAGAATCTCCACACTGCCAGAGAAAAGTGGTCTGGGCAAATTTTAGGACAAACAATGCAAACAATGTGTACCTGAAAGATGTGTACCTGAAAGATACACTACACTTTCTTTCC